CAAGGGGCCCTTTCCCCCAGTGCCATTTTTGGCACGCCGACAGTGTCGTTGAAAATTTGTGTTGAGTAAGCGGTTGCAGCGTTATCTGTTGCACCCGGTATTGGTTCTAGGTGTGTCGGCGCCCCATAGGTGCACAGGGGTTCTAAAACGCCTTCAAAATCTTTGAATGTGACACGGATATCTAAAACAGAAAAAGAAACTAATTGTTGTGGCTCGTCAATCACACCACGTATCGACGAAATTTCCTGAGTTGTTGTCTTGTGAAATGGTTGTAGGGCCAGGCGCACAGCGACGCACCACTGCAGCCCACTGATCGGTCGTTGGTGCCTACCCCGTCGATGGTTTCCCCTCATGCACAGGCCAAGGTGTTGTCTCCTAACCTCATGGCGATGCCTTTTTTTCGGTACTGAGGGTTTGTCGTCAGTGGTAGTGGTGCTTGGAGATTTACTGAGGGTGGATATTCTTCATTGACAATGCAGTCACTGCACGGGTCTGCACACTGCACCTGCTCAGTTTGAGCATCCAGCATGGCCGAAGAATCACAAAGAACTGTCTGTAGAGAAGTATCATCCATGTGCGGCGTTGTGGGTTGTTTGTTTTGACTATCAGCGCTCGATTGTTGTTCAAGAGCACATAATAGATTCTGCGGGCGGAGACCTGATGGCGGAGAGGTGTGACCGGGAGTTGTATGAATGCGTGCGTGCGTAGCATCCGCAGTTGTGTAGGTATTCCATGCATTGATTCCGCAAGTGCTGCGGTGCTGCTTTGTTCAAACTCAAAAGCAGGGTTGGACGGGGTTTGGGAAGGGGGGAAATGTGTCGAGGAATTCGTTTGTCCCATCACTGTGATTTGGGTACGCTGCACAGTGGTAACATGAGTGTTGGACAATGGTGCCACAGGAGCAGATTGTCGTGGAGGAGTCTGAAGGACATGCTGGACAGGCAGAAGTTGTGCACGTTGCAGCTGGTGATGCCTTCGTTCTTGTGCATGCTCATCACATTTTTTTTTGTTAGGGCATGAGTCATATATTCAGCAAAACGTCTCTCTTGCCAAGGTTGAATATCTTTTTTGAGTTTACTTAAGTCTAATCCATTAGGACCTCTTAAGGGTTTTAGCCACGGCGCTCTTAAATCCCAGAAACACATAGTTTCACCTCCAAAAATAATCTCACCGGTTGGAGATCTCATAAGATATTTACCTAAACCAGTAGGTCCTTGGGGAGATCCTACATTAGCACCAAGTCTCTGATCTCTGACCAAGAAACTAAATGCTTGTGCTTGACATGCCTCTGGCCCTGTAGGTCCATAAAACTCACTAGGATATGCTGTATTATTAAACCAAATAATAATAACATTTGTTTGCCATCCTCCTGCGATCCTTCATTTTGGCATGAGCAATAGACGAAGTTGGGGAGAGGATGGCATGTGATGAAGCACCATTGGACTATCGGGAAAAGGCTTTTCATTTGGAGGACAGATGTTATCCGACTGAGGAGGCGGTGTGCTTGTTGTGCATACCGTATTATTGCTTGTGTGTATAGGAACATAATGTTCACGTTCGATGCAAACATTTGACAGTGGCGTTTGAAGTGGTTCAACAATTGAAGGGCTGCAATTCGGTTGTAAGAGAGCAGCAGGGGTCGATGGCACAAGAATAGGTGTTACTGGAACAGCAGGAGTGGCCGGCAGCACCATCGGAGGCAATAGTGCTGTATCGAGCAGCTTGTGTTGCCGTGTGTTATCTGCACGCGCTGCAGATTTGTTTTTATAATAACGTTTATTGGCCATTTTCCTGCGCTCCCGGTGTTCATCAATTGAACTGGAGGGAGTGGAGGAGGGCAGAGCATGGGACGGTAAGGTAGCTGACTGTGGAGTCGAGGAGAGCACATCATGCAACGGTAAGGTAGCAGACCGCTTCGGGCTGTGGAGAAAAGCATCCTCAGCGGAACGATTATTGTTCTGAGATTGAACATGCAGCATGTCTGTTGTGTAGACGGCGGCATTGACCGGCTGGACAGGCAGAGACGGTGTGCGGAAGGTGTGTACATCTCCTAGCAGCTGTTGTCTTTTTTCATTTGCACGTGCAACAGTTCTTCTCATACAATACTCGTCTATTTGCCATCATCCTGCGCTCTCTCTGTTCTTCATGCGGCGTAGAGGGAGTTGGTGAGACGACAGGACACGAAGGACTGTCGGTCGGTACTGGTGTCCAATTTCGTGTGTATGTGCAAGCAGATTGAAGGTCAGGTTCCCCAGTACACATCATCCCAGATGGATGGTGCAGTCTGGCTGCATGAGAATCCCTATGTTGGATGTCAAGGGACATAAGAGGGGGGGATGGACGGATGTTTATATTGTCCCCAAGCGAGGGAGTCGTGACAGCGACAGGAGGAAGCATACGTTGGCAGATCTGGCAGGCCCGTTTGCATCATGCTGAAGGCATCAGATTCATTCAGTAGGTTAGCATCAGCAAGAACGTGTTCGGCTGCACTGTCGGGCTGGCGGTGACGCTTACAACGTTTCGGAGGGTTTGGATGGTACTCATTCTCTGCAAATTCTAAGGTCCTTTGCAGCTGGGTGATAGGAAGGGTTCGAAGTCTGGGCAAAGAGCAAGACAACAGAAAAGGTTCCGCATTGAGTTTCTGGAGCATCAGAGCTTCTCTGTATGGCTGTGCACGGTTTTTTGGAGGGTTACGTGAGGGAAGAAGAGTTGCTTCTCTGCTTTGTGGCAGTGTTTCCAAGGCAGAGTCGCTACTCCAGAAACCTCCTTTGCCATGTGCAGGGAACCACGATGTCCAACCTGGAGTGTGCAAAATGAAAATCCACATGCACGAAGTGTGAACAGGAGGGAACCGGCCAAAGCGCAAACAGTAAGGAATCGGCGGCAGAAATCGGGAAAACCTACCAAGCAGGTAAACGCAGATGGAAAGAAAATTGCAACCACATGAAAACACGATCAAAGGAAAAAAATGTGTGCACCAGGGTTGCATCCCCGCCGACCGGTCGGGCCGACCGCCGACCGTATTGTACCGACCGATTGGGGCCGACCGGTCGGCGGTAGCCGACGGCTCAGAAAACAATCTTCCTCTGATTTTTTTTTGTTCTGACTTCAGGTCTGTACTGCGCTTGCTGAGTACAGCCCAAATCCGCTGAGAAACTTTGGTTTCGGGGTGGGGGGGG